AGGCGGCGGACAGGCTGCGCGTCAGGCCAGTTACGCGCGGAGAGCGTGGGGTTTGGAGGGCTGATCGTGTGGAGGTTCGCGCGGGCGCCACAGGATCTTACCGGGTCATGGGTAAGCGGCTCTGCGGTCCGGCCAGGGCTGGGGCTGACGACCCCATGGAGGACAAGGGAGCGGTACCACCTCTTCCCCGGACCCCTTGGCCGCGGGGAACGTTGCGCGGGACTGAGCAGGGTCGGGGTGGGCTCCGGGCGAGGGCGCCGGGGTCTTAGACCGGCCGGGGCACCGGCGCTCTACGCCCTACGCGGGAGGGGTGAAATTGGGTGTCGGCGCTAGCTCTTCGAAAAAAGGAAAGACAAAAAGTTTTGGCGGCCAGGGGCTTCCCGGGCGTTTATCTCGAAACTCTTTTAGTTGTCTCTTGACTGAAATTTACCAAGCCCTGTACGGTTCTGTCATCCCACTTCCTGCTGTGGTTTCAATCTCGAGCTGGTCTCAGCTAATTTGTTGTGACAGCTGTCAGCAGCAGTTTCTCTGCCGCCCAACCCCCCGCCCCCTCCCCCATCGCATCCCCGCGGTTCTCAGAACCCGCGGAGGAGAGTCACCGGGGTCCTCGGGGCGCGCGCGGAGCGCTTTCCACTGTGGCCGCCGTTTCCTGAAAGTGACTCTGCGCGGGTTTTGAAGAACTTGCCCAATGCACTTTGAAGAATCAATTGTTCCTCTTTCAGCCAAGGGGTGTGCACTGAGCTACCGGCTTTCTTGCCTGCTGCCCTTTCTGTTCTTGTTTTCCCTTCTTTCTCGGCTTCTGCCTACCCTCCTGTGCCCACTGTTATCGAAGAAGTGGCTTCCCTCTTCGCGCTCCTCTTTCCCCTTTTTCTGTCTTTACTTTTCTCCCCTCGGATCTCCAGAGGAGACGGGTGGCAGCCTGGGGAGTGATGGGGGAAAAGAGAAATGCAGACGGCGAGCGAGCGAGCCAGTAGAGAAGTTTGACTGTGGCCCAGCCCCAGTGTGGGACGCAACCTGGGAGACACAGCATCTGATTCCCTCCGCAGAGTTTGCTGGGGGTGCGGCAGGGCGGGATCACTTTCCTTAGCCCCGCGGACTGGTGCTGGAGATGGAAGAGGAGCTTGATGGGACGCTGAACCCCAGAGGGGTCAGGGTGCCATTCGAAGGCACCGGTTGGCTAGGCTCAGCCTCGCTTTTATTGTTTGCTGGCCGGGAGAAGCCCTGGGGGCGGGGAGGGAAGACTGAGGAAAGGCCAACAGGTGCTTCTTGCCACCTCCAGAGCACCACTGTTAGGGACACTGGGCTCTCTGTGCCTACAGGCTGTGCTAGGGAAGGAGCAGCCTGGGAGATGGCAGTTAGGACACCCAGAGTGGAGTTCCAGAGTTCATTCAAGCCCTTGGGAGCCTTCTGGGGCCTAGAACTTGGAGGCCTGCACTATCCCTTAAGCTGGGCTGTATGGGCAAGAAGAGGAGTGGAGAGGCAGAGAGGCAGAGAAGGGCTGGACAGTCTTCCTCCAGGCCTCACTGTGCCCCTGCTGTCAGGCCACATCATGGACAAGTCATTTAACATCTGAGCCTGGCTTCTCCGGAGGTGGAATAGGAACACAAAGTTCATGGGGACAGAGGAAACAGTCCATAGATAGAGCTGTTACTGCTATCATCAAATATCACTCAGAATAGGTGGGAGGAGACAGTGGGGATTCAGCCCATCCTCAAATAGGATCTTTCAGGACATCCCAGAGTTAGCCAAAGAGGGACAGGAATCCTGGGGGGATTGGGAGCTGGTAGTCTCACATTTGGTGCCCTGTACCCCTACCTTTCTATACTCTCTCATAGCTCATTTTGGCCCCAGCTGTTCCCAAACTCATTTCAGCCCCACCCCTCAGCTAAGACAGGACTGTGGCTGGAGCTGCACCCTGTGCCCCTGGGGGTCCTCTGTCCAGCTCATCTGGCCTCAGTGCTGGCGGGAGCACAGCCCTTGGCAGGTCTCCCCTCCCCAAGCGGCCCACTGGAGCCCTGATCCTAGTCCGCCAGGCCGTGTCTCGCCTGGCAGCGGCCTCACAGTGGACTGGCCGCTTCAAAGGCTGTCTTTGTTTCGTCCCCAGCTCAAGTTAAGAGAAACTTAAGCCAACAACCTCAGGCGAGGGGGTGGGGCTGAGTCTGGTGGTTGTTATTGAGGCTGCTGTTAGCATTATTGTCGAATCTGACGAAGTGCTCCCAGTGGGTGACTTTTCATGAAAGGAAGTGTTGCTTCCTTCCCGTCACACCAAGAGTGAGTGGGAGAGAGAGAGAGAGAGAATAAGAGAGGGAGGGAGAGGCAGGCAGGCAAAGACCTGTGGCTTTGAACCAACAGCCTCAGCCCCTTTCTGGACATCAGGAATATCTGAGATCAAATGCTTTCATACCGAATCCATGCTGCTGGTGCTCGTTTCTGGGGCCCTGCTTTGGCCATAGGCTGCAGTGCAACATAGTGGGGAGCACTTGTTTCTTACTTTGTTCTCCTAAGATTGTTTGGTTCGTGGAGTCTAGCTCATCCATCTTCTGCATGGTACAACTGAGGTACGCCGTGGCAGCTAACTTGGTAAAAAAATGTACCTGTGTGGTGTCAGAGCCTCTGCCCCATCTCTGCTGCCCCACTATCACCTGACTGCAGCTCTTCATCTGGTAGAGTAGGGACAGGCACTTGTTAGATTAATAAGGTCAATGTGATGAGAAACTGCAGCTGCATTTGGGGAAAACAGTTTGCTATGTGAGCATAGATACTCAGGGAAACTTAGGATCTCCTTGCTTCCATAAAAAAACAATCTAAATTTCAGGGTTCAGTGTCTTGGGATAGACTCCTCTTATTCGGAACCCCAGATTTATCACTGAAATTTGTGACTTGGGGAAAATTACTGAACCTCTCTGAACCTCAGACATGTGTCTTTGAAAGGGGGGGAACAGTTCTCATGGAGTGGCCACAAAGATTCCATGAGGCAGCATTCAAAAGCGCCTGTTCTGAGACCTCACAGCACCATCTGAGTTGGGGGAGTGTGGTCTGGAAAGGGAATAGGGAATGGCTTGAAAAGGGGATTCGAGGATATATTCTCTTTTGGACTTAGTGACTGAAGCTAACTTTTTAACTGCTGTGGTTTTAGAATCTGGGGGTTAAATCTGACTCTGACTTGGCATGGTGTAGACCAGAAATCAGATCGCCACCTCAGGAAGTGCCTTGAGCAGTCACCTTGTCTAGCACCTTTCTGTACCCACTTGAGGCCTAGGGAGGCCTTGGCATCTCAGGGTCCAGCTACCCACCTCACTGTCTCTTCCCAACAGTGAAGTGGACATAGCAGGGGGCTGTGGAGTGAAGTCTACTGCTGGTTCATAAGACTTTTCTTCCACTCTTACCTAGTGCAGAAGCCCCTTTTCAACAGGAAGCACACAGGGCCTTTAAGAAGGAACATCCAAGAACTGAAGAGGGAAACCTGAAGCATTGTGACATGTGGTTCCGAAAAAATGCAGTATCTTGAAGTGATTTCTATTAATAAATGCGATTCCATTTATTAATAGGTGGAAGTTTTGAAAGAAGAGTAGTGAGGGGGGACTTGTCCTCTGAGTAATAAATTGTACAAAGCTGCAAAAATTAAAAGTGCACAGGTCCTAGCATTCCATCATGAGTAAAACAGAGTATACAGTCCAGAAATCGTCCTAGTATGTTATTTAAAAGCTTAGATCTTAGGGAAGGTAACATTTCAAGTCACTGAGGCAGGGGCCAGTCAGTCAATACTGCGACCCCTACCTGGGGATTCCAGATGTGTTCCAAGTAAATGATCACGTGGCTATCACCATCATTACAACTGTTGCTTCCTGGACGGAAAGGTGATGTTCCTTTGGAGAGCAGAAGCTTTCTTTTAGTGATCAGGCCCACAGTTGGATCCTTCGCCACAGCAGAGCATCTGAGGTTTTGTGCTCAAAGGGAACCTGTACCCCCGAGCTCAGATGTATGTGGCGGGAGACGCAAACACTGGCACAGAAGTGCCGCCCTCCTGCTCCTCTGTAGATCTAGCTCTGTCTGCCGCAGCACTGAGAAGGGTGTGGCAGCTGGAAGCTGGGCAGGCAGGACCCACCAGTCACCTGTGGCAGAGGATCTCAAACTTAATGTCCACAGCAGAACCCTTTCTCCAAATGAAGATTTACTTGGAACCCTGATTTGTAAGTGATCAGGGAAGGGAAAGATTGGGGTAACCAGGGATAGGACTGAGGGCTCCTGGAGGAGGAGGGGAAAGGGTTCTCTCCCTTCACTCAGCTAAGGCTGTGGAAGTGGGTCCGGAGGCCCTGTGGCACATACAGCACTCTAACCTGCTTGGGAGAGAATGGAGGCCAAGTTCACATGGGGACTTGCAGGACACAGTGATAGTGTTGCCTGATGGCTCTAGGCAAGAACTGTAGTCCCTTTCCAGTCTGGAGTTGAACAGCTCCTATTGGTGACCTCCTTTCCAGGTAACCCGAGTCCTTGACTCCAGGAGACCTTCCCTGAGAGTGGCTCTGGCAAAGCCTATCACCTGGGTTCCTCTGGAACACAGAAGAAGGGATTGGAGCCCCCTCTGGCTGGTGACTTTCAAGCTGGCTGCTCTCAGAGATTCCCTTGGGGGATTTTAAACTCTGATGCCCCTTGGTGGACCTGAGATCAAACTCAGAGGTAGTGGGAGGGTGACTGGCATCAGTGTTTTTAAAAAGCTCCAAAGGATGATTCTCCTGGGCCCTTCATTTTCTGAGCCCTCAGGGCATCAGCTTATAGCGAGTTTACAGGAAGGCTCCTGTGAACAGAACTTACCTGGTCACAGGAACAATGGAGAGAGTTCTTGGACATTCCTCAGCAGTGGGAAAGGAGAGAGAGGGCAGGAGAGTAGCTGGTGGGAGCACGTGTCAGGTTTGGAACGCTTCAGGAAGACAAGGGTGGTTAGCAAAGGACTCCAGGTTTCTCCCTGCCATTTCACAGAAGAGGAGACAGAGTTGCATGAGGACTTGGTTGGAAAGACATAAGTCCGGGGTGAGAGGTCAGTCGTTAGCACCCACGATTTCTGGGGACTGGCTGTATCGAATGATCAGGAGCCACCCCAAAAGGATGGCCCAAGTCTGTTTCTCTTTGGACAGCGTTGAGTGGTCTCTTCTGAGTGGATTTGGACTCCTCACCGAGGCTTTGCAAAATGTTGGCGCTCACCGTAGCAACCACAGTGGTGGTGTTACTCAGCTGGCAGAGTCCCACGTTTGTTTTGAATTGGAATCCCCAGGATGACAAGTCACTTAACCTTTCTGGCTTCAATTTCACCCTCTTACACATGGGACCCCTCTGAGACTGAATGAGCAAACATACATGAATGATCTGGGGACACAGGGTAGGACAATGCAGTGTGAACAGGTGTGGGCATAGGGGCATTTATGTGCACAATCACCAAAGGGCCACCTGGCCTCTTGGCTCATGTTGGTAGGACGTTGTCCTTAAGGAAGCTCGTTTTGGGGCCCTCCCTGGTGTCGCAATGGGTTAAAGCACAGCACTGTAAGTGCGCTGTGGTGTCTTCAGTGCGAGTTCAATCCCCAACCCCGGAGGTGACCCACATGGCACAGCACACCTCTCCTGGTCCACCCACTGCTCCCCTCAGCAGTGTACTTCATCAGTCTGCCTGTTTGGCTCCCCTCTCTGTCTCAGGTGAATCCTCTCATCGCCCCTGCACCTCCTACCCCAGTTCTGGAAGCTTTTTTCCTGTCTGGGACTAAGAGGAGCTCTCATGGGTTACCAGCAGTAAGGATTTTCTGAGCAGGAACATACCTAGAGTATGTTCTTATTAGATGAAAAGGAGTAAGGAAAGGCAGGAAAGCTCACTCTGGCTTTCCTGATGTCTACTGTGGGTGCGGGCAGGCCTCATCCAGCTATCAGGAAGTGGGGTACATGTGGAGGTCAGTCAGAACGGCTGTGAGCAGCCCAGGAGGCCTGTGCCTGGCTGGGGGCTGGGAAGGGCCACCCAAAGGAAGTGACCTTTCCGGTGAAATAAAGGGTCACTAGGACGAGGCCAGGTCAGGGTGCAAATGGCACAGCAGGGAGTTAGGATGCTGCAGGTGCTCAGGGGAAGGATAATGCTTAAAATGTGTGAGTTTTTCTTCTGATTTTTCCTGGAGGATCTACGGCACCCACATAGGGCTTCAGGGCCCCACAAACCAGGGACTCTCACAGCTTCCTGAACTTGACCAAGCCAGTATGAAAATTTTGCCTGCATGGGGGAGAGGTTTTTTTTTTTTTTTTTTGTTATTTTAAAAAAGAGAATTATTTATTTATGCATACAAGAACTGCATACAGGCCAGTAGTATGTGTGTGGGGGGGGAGGGGAAGGTGAGAGGATTCACCAGAGACAGAGGAGGGAGCAAAACAGGCAGATCAAGTGAAATACACTGCTGAGGGGAGCAGCGGGAGAGGCAGGAGAGGTCTGCCTGGCCATGTGGGTCAGCTCCCTGGCTGGGGATTGAGCTCTTGCTGCAGTGGCTGCAGACAACTCACAGTGCTGCGACTTAACCCCTTGTACCACCCCCTTGCACCACCGGAGAGGCCCTAAGGGAGAGGTTTTGGAGACAGGATTTCCCTGAATACCACAGCTCCATACCAGCCTCCTCTGACTAGACTCTAAGGCAACTCAGGGTTTCCTTCAAAGATGTGAGAAGTTGGAACTGAGGAGGGAAAGAAGCAGGTGTGGGTTTGGGCGGTCAGTGTAGTGCCTGAGTACAGCCCAGGCCGGTGGGGCAGAGGACCTGCTGCAGAAGGAAGGGAGGACTCATCTGTGTCTGGCAGATTGAGCTGAGGTGGGCAGGCCCCGCCGCCTGTCCAGGGAACTCCTCATCACCTGTTCCCACCGCATCTCATGTGCTCTCTCTGTCCTCCCTCTTGCCCCCTTCCTCTCGTTGCAGCACCTTCTGTCAAAGGGAAAAGGAAGCAGTCAGAAGGGGATGACTCACTAGACTGTCCTGTGTCCCCTAAACCAGATGGTGAACAGAACAGGAGCCAGAGCCCTGTCCAGCTAGAGGTGAGTTGGGCGACCTCCTGGGAGGGGTCTGCATGCGGCCTCCAGTGAGCCGGAGACTCCCCTGGCTCTCAGGAGGGGGACATGTCCCCTACTGCTGCCTTGCAGAGCTAGGAAGGGCACCCAGCCCAGCTGTCTCTGGACATCTTCAGAGGTTGGGGACTGGGAGCTGCACAGATTGGAGACTCACCCCCACCTGTCACAGGAGGTCTTAGCCTTTGTTTTCATAACAGAACCCTTTTATCAAATGAAGATTGCCTGGAGCCTTGATCTAGAGAACAGATAAAAGCACTATTCCTTGAAGTAAAACTACATTTACATCCCTCTGTGCAAATTTATCCCGTGGGCATTAAAGCCACTGAGTGAGCTCAACAAGGCTGCTTGACGAGTGCCAAGTGAGCAGAGGCCCAGGCTGGGCCTCCAGGAGTGTCAGCTTCAGTGGCCCTGTATTTTGGCTCTTTGCTCTGGTGGCACAGTCTGGAGTGACAATCCTGAGTTGTGCAGAAAAACTAGTTACAATGGTAAGTTTTGAACAGCTTGCCTGCAATTCAGAGAGGAGGTCTAGAAGAGCAGGTTCATTTGAGGAACAGAAGCGAGAGCACCTTCACTCCAGGCCTGCTTAGAACCAGCCGCCCTGACTCCTGTGTGCTGCCATTCCTAGGGAGTGCGGGTCTATGTGGTTGATTATCAGAGGTCGTAGGTAAGTCAGAAACTTGGAAATGGTACTGGAGATTTTGTAGGCTGCGTGGCTGCACAAAGCTCTGGGTCCTCAGGCTGGGTGGTGCTTGTGCTGCTGGTGCCTGGGGCAGCCCCAGCCTACCACACCCCCCTGCCGCGAGCCCCAGGGCGGATGAACAGCATCAGCAAAAACTGCCCCTCTAGGAGCAGAACCCAGTCGTTCTGTGCGTCTGACAGGGTGTGCTGGTAGAAACCCAGGACGGAGCTTCCCCGCCCCGAAGTCAGAAGGCAGGCTGCTGGGTCAAGGACAGAGGCCGTCATGGCAAAGGCTCAGTGGTCGCAGGCCTAGTGGCGCGGCCCTGCGATGCCAGAAGGCACCAAGTACATTTGTTCCTTTAGCTTCAAGCGCAGGGGTTGCTGGGAGGCCTGGGACACCGCCTGCCACCAAGAGCTCCCAGTCTGGGAGAGGGGCTGAGACAGTAGGACAAGAGAAAGAAGGGATCTGGGCCTCGAGAGAGGTGGGAGAAGGTGCGAGGCAGTGTCCCTGGCCATCTCCTGGCCCCCGATCTGAGGCCCTGGGCGCTGAGACAGCTGAGCCTGTTGCACCTCAGGAATAATCGCTCCAGCCCAGAGCAACAGGCTGGGTGGGGTCCTGGGGCTGGGGGCCAGGCACCTCGTTCCTCCCAGCTACCAATGGTTTCCACCTGCCTCAGCCGCACACCAACTGGGGGCTCATTGCAATGCCTCCTGTTCTTTCCCCAGGACTCCCCCGAGGCAGGCGGGGAGCGGGAGGAGGAGCAGGAGCGGGAGGAGGAGCAGGCCTTCCTTGTCAGCCTCTACAAGTTCATGAAGGAGCGACACACGCCCATCGAGAGGGTGCCCCATCTCGGCTTCAAGCAGAGTGCGTCCCTGGGGTGCAGGCAGGGAGGGGGGCCCGGCAGGATACCCCAACCAGGCAGGTACCTCGCTTGGGGTGATCCTGGACGCTGCCAGCCCATAGGGGTTGCACATAGAAGGGGCGCCCCCTCTGGGCACAGGGCTGGCAATGGGCGGGGCCAGATTTCCATCCTCACTGGCCAGTGGGGTCCTAGGCACAGAGCCAGCCACCATCTGTCACAGCGCCCCCTAGGTATGCGCTGGTGCTGTGCCTGCCTGGCAGGGCCTAGGAACGGGCTGCCGGCTGCCCTCTCCTCGCACACAGGCTGACGGGGCCCTGCCCTGTCTTTTCTCCAGTTAACCTGTGGAAGATCTACAAGGCAGTGGAGAAGCTGGGAGCCTATGAGCTGGTAAGGACAGCCCCTCTGGGTTCTCACCATGCTACATCTCCCAGCACGCCCTGCTGCAGCCAGAGGGGAGATAGGGCGCCCAGTAGCGCTGTCCTTGTCTGAAGGCAGGAGGAAGAGGCAGACTCCCCAGTGCTGCCCTTTCCCTGGCTCTCCTCCCTGCCGTGGTGAAGAGGGGCCTGCCTTGCCCGCTGGTACTTTGCTGCTCAAAGCAGGTTTTCCTCTCGTCCCCATCTGTTCTGCCACCCTGTGCTCACAGAGCTGCTTGGGCCAGCAGTCAGGTGGCGGCCCCGGGGAGGGACAACTGGCTGGGGGCCAGGCCAGCCCCCTCCAATCTTCTGGGTCCCTGCCTCTGGAGAAGCAGCTGCAAAGTTGCAGTCCTTGCTCCTTCTCCTGCCGAGAGGGAGTCCAGGGCCTCGACCCCATCGCCAGTGGGCAGACATCACCCACACCGTCGTGTGGTGCCCTTGCAGGTGACAGGCCGCCGCCTCTGGAAGAATGTGTATGACGAGCTGGGGGGCAGCCCAGGCAGCACCAGCGCGGCCACGTGCACTCGCCGCCACTATGAGAGGTGCGGGATATGGGGCCCGGGGAAGGTGAGGGCGGCCCCCGCACGGTGGGACTGGGAGTGGGGGTGCAGGTGGAAAGCTGAGGTCCACGGGGAGGTGGGACAGGTGCCCGTCTAAGCTGCAGGAATGTGTGTCTGCACGCTACTCGTCACTGCCCGGAGCTCAGCCTGCAGCCTCCTGGACAAGATGAGGAAGAGCGTGGGCCTTGGCCACTGTAGGTTGTCTGTGTGCAGCAGGGGGTTCCGGGTTTGTGGGAGGGGCCAGAGGGGCTTGGAGGCCAAGTAGGTCCAGAAAGGTGGGGCGTGTCGCCGGGCGCCCGGTCTCATGGTGGACATGCCCCGCTGTCCTCAGGCTGGTTCTCCCGTATGTGCGGCACCTGAAGGGAGAAGATGACAAGCCCCTGCCCCCCTCTAAGCCCAAGAAGCAATACAAGATTGCCAAGGATCCTCGGGGGGAAGATGGGGCCGCTGAGAGGCCAAAGAAGCCCAAGGAAGAGAAGCGGGGGGACCAGGTGAGTTCCGAGCCCTGTGCAGCCTGCAGCTAACTTTGTGTTTCCCTGTCCCCTGCCTGTAGGAGGGGAGAAGTGAGGGGGGGGGGATAAAGGAAGAGTGGGTGGGGAGGCTCCAGGACCCTGTGATGGCGGTTAGTTCTTACCTGAGCACCCTCAAGTGAGCATGCAGGGGCAGAGCCCAGTCTGCATCCCATTCACCAGGTCCAATGTCCTGACACCAAAATGTGTCCATTCAGAGGATGGGATGGCTTTGGAAAATTTTGCACAAAGGCACTGAAGGGCTAGCAGAGAACCAGAGAACTGTGGGTATTCCCGTGGGGCCCCTCTTGTCCCAGGTTAGGATTCCTAACTCAGGCCTGGCACTGAGGCATGCCTTCTCTCATTCTAGATGATATCAGGAAAGACCAAAACCGATGTCACCACTGACCTCACTCAGCTTCCCAGCCAGGAGCCTCCCAGAGACAATACAGAACAGCCAGGCCCAGCCCCTGGGCCCTCTCAGTCCTTCGTGAGTGCCAGTGGCTGCCCTGAGGCCTACAAGCGGCTCCTGTCCAGCTTCTGTAAAGGGACACATGGCATTATGTCACCGCTGGCCAAAAAGAAGCTCCTGGCCCAAGTGAGCAAGGCAGAGGCCTTGCAGTGCCAAGAAGAGGGCTGTCGCCATGGAGCAAGTGGCCCCAACGGGGAGCCTCAGGTGGCCCCAGCTTTTTGTCCTTCAGAGAGTCCCCAGAGCCCAGGAGACTTGGCTGAAAACTCCAGACACCGGCTGACCCCTCCGGAGGGCTTACAGGCCCCTGGGGGCAGCCTCCGGGAGGAGGCTCCCACGGGCTTCCGCCCATCAGGCCCCATCTTCACCGGCTGTTTCCATGCCTGCCCTACGGAGGTACTGAAACCCATCAGCCAGCATCCCCGGGACTTCTTCCCCAATTTTAAAGATGGAATGCTGCTGGGGCCTCCTGGCAAGGAGGAGGGACTGTCAGTCAAAGAGCCTCAGCTGGTGTGGGGAGGGGATGCCGACCGGCCCTCTGCCTTCCACAAAGGCAGCTCCAGAAAGAGCAGCCCGTACCCCAAGCCCAAAGCCTGCTGGGTGTCCCCCATGGCCAAGGTCCCCGCCGAGAGCCCTGTGCCCCTCCCTACCTTCCCTAGCAGTCCAGGCCTCAGCAATAAGCGCAGCCTCGAGGAGGGTCTTGCCCATGGTGGCAAAAAACTGCGTGCTGTGTCCCCCTTTCTTAAGGAAGCGGACAGCAAGGAGTGTGGGGTCAAACCTGTGAGGCCTGGCCTGTCTGTCTCCTGCCTGCTGGGCCCAGCCCTGGGGCCCGCCCTTCCAGAGGCCTACAGGGGCACCATGCTGCGTTGCCCACTGAACTTTGCCAGCGCACCAGACCCCTTAAAATGCCAGGCCACACTCCCCTTCAGCCCCCTGGTCATCCCAGCCTTCCCAGCCCACTTCCTGGCCACTACAGCCCCCTCACCCATGGCCACTGGTCTCATGCACTTCCCCCCAGCATCCTTTGACAGCGCCCTCCGCCACAGACTCTGCCCAGCCTCGTCTGCCTGGCATGTGCCTCCTGCCACAACCTATACAGCACCCCACTTCTTCCACCTCAACACCAAGCTGTAGGTCAGAGCCTGCTGTGCTGTGTTGTGGAGGGACTGTCGTGGCTTGAGATGAGTAGGCCCTGCCAGGGTGCTCTGGGTTACAGCCCATTCCCCAGGAGGGCTCAGCTGTGTCCCTTGTTGGGCATCCTGGCACAAGGGGAGACAAAGGGAGAACTGACTTTGTCGTGAGGAAACAACCAGAGCCCAGAGGCTGGGCACCCAGGTGTTGGCAAGTCTTTGGGAGAAGATGGTCAATGCTGGCAACTCATCTGGGCCTCCAGAGCAGAAGCCAGGAATGGGACGAGGGCTGAGGAGCTGGGAAGCAGCTTGAGGCATTCAGGCTGTTCCTGGAAAAATCTAATAATAAAAGAGCAACGTGAATCCACCCGAGGTGTGCATGATACAGACCTTCACCAGGGCAAATGAGGTGGGGCTTGCTCATGGGTGGGGCATGGGTGAGGGGAGGGGCCTACCCAGCGCCCATTCAGAGATGAGCATGGGCCCCAAAACAAAACTCAGCCTCCTGTATAGACTTAAATTGTGACATTAGTCCTAGGCCTCAGTCCACTCTCTGAGCGTACTTAAAGTCAGCTGCCTCTGACCGTTTTAGGCAGGTGGGCACCTAAGGTCAGTGAGGGCAGTGACCTGCCTGGTGTCCCCCAGGAGGTAGGTGGCAGAGCAGGATGGCGCACATGGGTGTGGCTGCACGCACGGAGCCCGGGCGCTGGGGGCTGTGGGTATGAGCAGGGGGCCTGAATTGGGCCACCCTGGTGGTGGCCTTAGACTCAGTGGGCCCGCTGGCAAATTCTCCAAGCAACCCTGCCCCCTGCCCTACCGATCTGCTATTATAGGTGGGTCAGGAAGCTTCTACTGGATTAAAATATTTGGGGGTACCTGGAGGGAAAGAGGTTTAGGTAGCCAGAATTGTGGCCTGGGCGTCTGCATTGTTTTCAGATGGGATTGTTCCAGGGGCTTCATCAGAAACCTCTATCCTAATGCCCTCCTGCAGGCTGTGGTTGGGGAGCTGTTTTGGGGGGCCACCCCAGGCTGCCTGTTCTCAGAAGCCGGCCCAGCTTTGCTCAGGTTCTTGGCAAGGCACTACTACTACTGACCAGAGGATGGCAGGCGTGGGGTGAGGCTCCCCACCCTCTCCCAGACCGACCTCACTGTTTTCAGTTTGGTCAGTGGGTGGCCTTTAATTCTCACTGGACTGGTCCCAGTGTTCCTGCCTACCCTCACCCCCAAGCTCACAACCTCTGGCCATGGGATTAGTTAACAGTAAGTGACCAGCCAGGAACAGGTTCTGCTGGTCCCAGGTGACCGTTGAAAACTCAGGAGGGCACATGCCACTTGTGTAGTACCATGGGTAGGCTGTCAGCTTCCTGCCTTGTGCTCTGAGGCTGCATGTGGGGCTGGAGTTGAGCCAGCCACAGGCAAGGTTGCTGCCCTCCAGGCAAAGTCGCTGCCCTTCAAGAAATAAGTGCCAGCCAGGCTCTCCCTGGTGGCGCAGCAGGTTGAAGCACAGCACTAAGAACCTAAAGCCACTTCCGCATGAGTTCGATCCCTGCCAGCCCTGGAGGTGACCACATGGCGCAGCAGACCTCTCCTGACCCGCCCGCTGCTCCCCTCAGCAGTGTACTTCCTCGATCTGCCTGTTCTGCTCCCCGGTCTCTCTCTGGTGAATCCTCTCACCACCCTGCACCTCTGGCCTGTACCCCACCCAGTTCTGTATGAATAAATAAATAAATCTTTAAAAAAAATAAAAGTGCCAGCAGTGGGGTAGCCAGAGCGGTGGTCCCTGTGTTGTGAACACCTCCCTTCTGGAAGGTGGCCCAAGTAGCTGCATGACCTCCAGTCCAGAGTTCCCAGCTCCCATAGGTACCCACTGCTACCCAGCTCCCAAGCCTCTGCAATCTCAGTGGTTGACAAATCAGGGAATTGCGTTCTGACATCCTCCCAGCAAGTGGACTGGGTCACCGGTGATGGGGTCAGACTGACCTCCCTGGGTGAGGGGAGATGAGAGCTACCTGTGGTGTTCAGGGCCCTGCCCAAGATGGGGCAGGGTGGCCTCTACAAGGCCACAGCAGCTTCTCCCCAGCGCAGAGGTATGCAGGTGTGTGCCTGGTGGCGGGATCTGGGCAGGGATGCTCAGAACTGTGATGGTGGCGCCCTCTAGAGACTGCTCTGAGGCATGTGTCTTCCTGGGCGGCTGTGTCCCGGTTGATCCCACAGCAGGAATCTTGCTGCTGCTCAAGTTTCAGCAGACAAGCCCCCTTCTCATCCCCCAGGGCTGGACCCTGGCCATGCTTCATGGAAAACCTCCCTCCCCTGTGCCCTGCAGCAACAGTGCACAAGCTTTGCTTTTTCTCATTCCACAATTCCGGAGTAAGATACCGACCCCATTTACAAATGAGACTGCTCTGGGAGAGCCGAGCCCGCAGGCGCCAGGACGGCCGCTCCCTGGCGGTGGGCATCCTGCCCCGCTTCCTGGGCGCTGCGGCCCTAAGTGCTGTGGGTTGTCCTGCTCGTGCGTTATGAGTTGTATTCTGCCAAAGGGACACACAGCCAGCGAGGCAGCCCAGCACCTATGTTTAGGGCGTACACTGTCTCAGGGTCATTTTTGGGACCCATTTCCCACCAACTGTGGTCAGACTGCTGAGAGCCACAGTAAGGGGGGGCAAGTCTGAAGGAGCTCCTCCACAGTCCTCGGCCCTCCTGGTGACAGGCAAAGTCCAGAACTGTGGTCAAGCCGAGACGCCACCTGTCCGCGGGCTGTCAGGCACTGTTTTAGGCACTGGGGTGGGCACAGCAGCGAGGAAGACACTCCGGTCGCTGCCCTCATGGAGCGGGGGCGGGATCCGGGTGCCCATTCACAGGACACAGGCAGCATATTGGGTGCAAGTCTGAGTTTGGGTGCTATGGGTGCCTCTGCTTTCATTTTATTTATTTTTGCATCAAAGGGCTGGGGTGTAGGCCAGAGACAGAGTGGGGAGCAGAGCAGAGGACCGACTGAAATACACTGCTGAGGGGAGCAGCAGACGAGACAGGAGAGGCCTGCTGGGCATATGTGGGGCAGCTCCCTGGCTGGGGATTGAACTCAGGCCGTAGCAGTGTTAGTGCTGAGACTTCTAGGCCACCAGGGAGGCCCCACCTCCACTGTCTTATTGGAAAGTGAGCGTGGGCATCACGCTGTGGAGGAGAAGGTAGAGGTCTCCAAGAGCTCACAGGAGCAGTGCCCATTGGGCAGTGCCCAAGTTCCTGGAAAGTGCCAGGTGCCCACCTGAGGCTCAGGCAGGAGTTGGCTGAGTGGTGAGGGCAGTGTGGCGAGGCGTCCTTCCTCCTGCCTTCTCCAGCTGGGCGTAGAGTGAAAGGGAGCGGTGCTGGGAGCATCTGAGGGGATCCAGAGCTGGGTGGCACGAGAGAATAATGACATGTGGGCCGTCGATGAGTGAGGGAAAAAAAGGGGTGAGGACGCCAGGGGAGGGCAGGGATTCATGGACCACAAGTCCCTGTAGGCTCAGAGGACTTTGGGTCAGAGGAGGTGGAGTGGGGAGATTTCAACAGCTGGAATTGTGGTCATTGGTAAGTTTGTGGAAGCCAGTGTGGGGGGGAGACCATCCTGGAGGAGAGGTCAAGGGCTGGAGGGATGAGACAAGACGCCGGAGACCTGAACCCAGCAGCAACGGATCTGCAGTGGTTTGGGTAAAGGCGGGGGTGGGGCAGGGTGCAGGAGGGTTACAGGGTGCATGGATAATGTAGCAAGGGCGTGGGCCGGGATCTAGGCTATGGCCTGACCTCCAAAGTGGGGCAACAGGGCAGGAAGTAAAGTGGTGGCTTCACCTAGTGAAGAGCAGACTTCTCCTGACCTGGCCGCTGCTCCCCTCAGCAGTTACTTCAGTGGATCCTCCTGCTCTGCTCCCCACTGCTCCCCACTCTGTTTCTGGTGGATCTTCTCACCCCCCGCACCTCTGGCCTACACCCCAGTTCTTATATGCATAAAAAGAAACGAATTTTTTTTTTTAAATCAACTTCAGGCAGTAAGACCAATGCCTGGAACTGAGTAGTGGTTCTGCCCTTGGATAGGGGGTACGGCCAATCTGAACCCCACTCCATCCCTGCTTGAATCCATCAGCTGACCACCCTACTCCCGCAGTCTCTGTTTCCACCTTTCAAGCCAAATCCTGCAGCTGCTCAAATGCTGGGGGCAGCTTCTGTTCTTTGCTGTCATGAGATGGGCCAAGGCCAGTTTGCTGAGCCAGTGGTTCCAAAATGTCACTGCTAGTAAACCGAAAGTGCTCCCAGGCAGGAGGGCAGTCAGTCATTGCCAAGTCATCCGCGCAGTGTGCCCTGGTGTATAGGCAAGGAAGGGAGGGCCGGGCACAGCTCAGCCCTCTGGCCCAGGATGAGATGCAGATAGGAGTAGGGAGCAGGTCAGGGCAGACGACCTTCCCCCGAACACTCCTGACCCCACAAGGGCCGTCCCAGCTCTGAGGCCCTGGTCACTTCAGCAAGTGGCAGCCACTACCCAGCCCTGTTTGTGAGGGAAGAGGACATCAGGGGGTGATCAGGAGAAGGGACTCCTGGGCAGGAGTTAGAAGGTGATGACCCCCCACCTCCATCACGCCCACGTGGCTCCTGGCTCTGGGTTCTTGGTTTGATACTCGGGATTCTGGTCCTGCTTGTCACACTCCATGAGCGACACAGTGTGTGTTTGTGGGGGGTGGCGACCAAGGAGCTGGGAGCCAAGTTCTGAGACCCACTCCCCAAGGGCTCAGCGAGGGGTCTCGGGCTCTTTACTTGCAAGCAACAGAAACTCTGACCAGGCAAGAAGGAGCCTTCAGGGCTCAAGAACTGTAGGGAGTGTGGGACAACCTGGCTTTTGCGAGCCATAGACGGTGCCCCTCTCTGAGGCATGGCTGCCGTGAGCTGGAGCAGGCTTCTGCTGCCTCATCTCTTTCCAGATCTGCACTCAATGACGCCTTGCTGGTAGCTTGAAGAGTGCAGACACCCTCTGCCTCCCCCACCCGCCCAGAATCCGCAAACGCTACAAACCAGGGCGTCCTCCCTAGTCACTGAGCCTGAGCGCCACGCCTAGCAGCCTACTTTCTCTCAGTAGGTCTCAACTCAAGGAGAGACTTTCAAGAGAGAATCTGATCTGTCCTGCACTTACCTGAGGCATGGGCCTATTATGTCAGAGCAGTACGTCTACCAGGTAGACGGAAACAGTCATCACTAATGCTCGATGAGGTGCAAGCAGATGCCAGTCAGCCTTCTCTGAGCCTCCATTTCATCTAGGATGTGGAAATGAGTCATTTCTATCTTAAGAGTTGTGGACATTAGTGAAAGTTCTTTGTAAATGCAAGTTCTGGACAATTGTGA